CCCCCTTATTCCAGAATTTATCTCCTATGTTTCTGGCTTAGCAACTTGTGAAGCAGCCTTTTTTCTGGCTTATTTGAAAATCACCTAGCTATGATAGTAGTAAAATGAGGCCCGCTAAAGTGCAGTACATCACCAGAATTGTTTTAATTTTTCCGCCTTTTATTTCTCTTAAGCAGCTTCTGGTAGCGAAGTCCTTCTTCATGCTTGTTCCATTAACATCAGTTGGTCTGATTTTTACCATGTGTTTTGTTGGAAAGACCATATAATACAGGTGGTTAAACTTGGCTCAGGTGTCATTTGAATTGAAGTTATGGGAGTTTCTGAAAGAGATGCTCAGTGTGAGACATAATGGGAGTGGGATAGATCTCTTCTTTGCAAACTTAAGATCACAGGAAGAGCTTCATTTTAAAGCCTTGCATTTTTTATTAGGTAAAATAATCTTTCTGAAAGGCAAGTGCTGCACTGCTACAACCCATGCAGCTGGAGGAGGACTTTTTAGAAGGGCATGTGGTGACAGGACAAGGGGTGATGGCTTTAAACGGAAAGAGGGCAGATTTAGGAAGACATTCTTCCCTATGAGGGTGGTGAGGCACTGGAACAGGTTGCCCAGAGAAGTTGTGGACGCTCCCTGGCAGCATTCAAGGCCAGGCTGGATGGGTCTTTGAGCAACCTGGTCCAGTGGAAGGTGTCCCTGCCCGTGGCAGTGGAGCTGGAACTAGATGATCTTTAAGGTCCCTTCCAACCCAAATCATTCTATGATTCTATGATTAGCTGATTTATTCATCAATTGCTAAGACTGTACAGTGCATATGTGAAAGTAAAGCAAAAGAGGATAGAGGTTTTCCTGTAGAATCTTGTCTATTGACAGTGGAAACTGGTAGCATACTGGAAGGTTTGAACGTGTGGTAACATCCTTTCACTTCCTGGATAATAGCAAAGGCCACAATATGTCTTCTAATATGCGTGGTGTCTTTTCAGGTTGTTGATTTGCTGTTGGCCCGGGGAGCAAATAAAGAACATAGGAATGTGTCTGATTATACTCCATTAAGCCTTGCTGCATCTGGTGGCTATGTTAATATCATCAAGATTCTTCTCAATGCTGGGGCAGAAATTAATTCAAGGTAATGTACTATGTAGACCAGATGAACTGCAGTATAACACAGACACTCCATTGTTAGCTATGTACTGAGGCATAGGTTGGAATCTCTAGTGCTTTCAGACCTCCTTGCAGCCTTTCTACACTGATGTTATCCTTTATGTTCACATTATCTTAGTGCTTTTAATTGTCTTTAACTATCACAAACTTAATCTCCATTATAGCTAAATTTTAAGGGATTATGATAGTTTGCAAACCTATTCCTTCCTTTTCCCTTTTCCGTCATTCAGTGATCTAGAAGTCAAACTGTTTCCCATAGAACCAGATAAAGGAACCAACCAAAGCACTCAGGGCAGCTCTATGTGTTTGAAGATGTCTTTTTCAATAAGAGAAACAAATTTACACAGCTATGTCTCTTAAGCCACCTGTTCACTCATTTTAAGAAAACTTACATATATTCTAGCGCTAGAGAAAATTAAAACTGCAGCTATGCTGGAAGCATTATTTTCTGGATGAATCAGATGCAGCCTTGATTTTTAGTATATGTAGTTATGCTTCAGCCATCTGAACATCTAAAAGCTGAAATGTATTTTTCTTGTTTACAAATTGTAATTGTCTATTGCATGTCATTACACTGATGGTTTCTCCTAATCAATTAAAAAATGCTAGTATTTTAGGTCAGTGTCTATATTTATGTATGTTCCTTTCTGGCTTACAACAAAAAATTTTGTTTGTCTTAGATACATTTCCCAGAGCTACACTTACATTTCCCAGAGCATTCCTCCAGTTCTGGGAACTGCAGTTTGTTTCTTTACCTTTAGGACCGGGAGTAAGCTAGGTATTTCTCCTCTGATGCTGGCTGCTATGAATGGCCATGTACCTGCCGTGAAACTGTTGCTTGATATGGGTTCTGATATTAACGCCCAAATTGAGACCAACCGGAATACAGCCCTCACCCTGGCCTGTTTCCAAGGCCGAGCAGAGGTGGTCAGTCTGCTTTTGGACAGGAAGGCCAACGTCGAGCACAGGGCAAAGGTAAGTATGTGAATTGCCTTTCCTTAGGACTTCTTTCTAACAGGTGATTTCTCTGAGTTCTCCAGTTTCTTCAAATTTTCCTGTTACTTTAAGCCTCTCTGGGCTCAGAGGACTTATTAAATCAGAGGACTTACTAAATGTTCTGAAATAAGTTTGGTTTTTAAAAATAAAAGCATCAACGATGATGAATTTTTTTGCATTATGGAAAAGCTGACTGGTCCTTCTGAGTTTGTAATGAAACTTAGATTGACTCTTCTGTAGTACTGAGAAACTTTTTCAGGTTTAAGCTTGATGTGATACTCATTAACAGAACAGATAGATATACATATTTTTACATATGAGTGAAGTCTAGGCAGGAAGAGAATAGTGTTGCTTATAGTGATTCTCATACAGAACAGATTTCTTGTCTACAACAGAAGTAGTGCTGTCAAACTTTGTAAAGCTTTTACATTGCTGTAGAACCTGTGGCTTCAGTACTGTGACTTTCTGTGCCTCTGAAATGCTCCACAGGTCCCATCCTTTGGTACTCTGGGACAGCTTTGTGTCTCCTGCCATAAAGCAAGCTTAAAGCTTGTGTAGACAGCCAGACTGATTTCCCCAGCACAAAGGAATTTTTGGTAACTCCTAAGGCTGCTGAAATAATTGCTGTGTCTGTCTACCCCGCCTGCTTCTGGAATGACTGTGGCTGGAGAAAAGGGGATATGGATAAAAGCCAGCTCTCAAATGGTCAGTTGGGCATGTTAGCAGCTGGTATAAGTTTATTTAACAGTCTAGTCTGGCAACTAAGTGGGGCCCAGATCAGTCTCAGTGCTAAGGGAGGCTAGAGAAAAGCTGTAAATCCAGTTTCTGAGCATTTTCATAGAAACACTTGTGTCTTCATTTGGATCTGTTCTAACCTCTGTTTTAGAGATTCTGTTGTAAACTTTGTTTTTGCTATTGAGACAGGTATTTGGTCGTACTTAGTCAACAGTTTGCCTGGGTTTGTATAAATCCAAGCCCAAGAGTATTTGGGTTTTGGTGTTTTTTTTGTTTTGTTTGGGTTTTGGGGTTTGTTTTTTGGTTTTTTGAGAAAGAGACTGCTGCAAGTTAGGCTCCTAAACTAAATATAAGCAGCTAAAGAAAAATCTGATTTCCCTGTGTAGAAATCATCTATGTTTTGTCCAGAGTATATTGTACAAATTTCACACTGCATAACTCCATTCTCTTTGCACAGACTGGCCTCACACCTCTGATGGAAGCAGCTTCAGGAGGATATGCAGAGGTTGGAAGGGTTCTCCTTGATAAAGGAGCAGATGTTAATGCTCCACCTGTGCCTTCCTCAAGAGATACAGCTTTAACAATTGCAGCAGATAAGGGTCACTACAAGTTCTGTGAGCTCCTAATTAATCGGTAAATTATTTCTTCTCATTAGCGGCACATTTGTTCTGTAGCTGTACTCCTCTGTGGCAAGGGTGTCCTTGTTTACATTGCCTCATGCAGCTGAGAGCAAAGGGAATGGGAAGGTTTGGAAGTAGGATGTTGTATCTGTTCCCTATTCTCCAGTGTTATCCTGGAGTATCCTGCTACTCCAGTATTAATGAAGCTAAGCAGGCAGCTGGGACCAGAGGTAAGCAAACAGTGTCTGGCTCGGCAGCTCTGTTGGCTGTGTGTTAATCTAGCAATTCCCACATAAGCGTTCCCCCGCTGTCACTTGCAGGGCAAAGCCTGGAAGTAGCTCTTGAGCTCTTCAAGCATAACCCTATGCACTGCTAAAAGCTCAAGGGGCTGCTTTGTCCTGTGGGTAGTCACCACATTGATGATAATTTAAAGGACCCGTGGTTGCTAGTTGCATAGCTGTCGTGCAGTAGGCTACATTAAGTGAGTTTTGTTTCTGTAGGGGAGGCTTAAATAATCTCCGTGTCACTACATTGCAACTTAAACAGCAGATTTCAGGGACAGAATTTCTCTAACTAGCCACTAGATTTCAGTAATTAAAGTTATATATCTAATTGTACTCTGATCTTTCATGATCTTACTTCCTGACTTCCACCTTTACTCATACCTTGTTTCACTCAATTGCACTTGTATTTTTTTAGAGGAGCGCATATTGATGTTCGTAACAAGAAAGGAAACACACCTCTGTGGTTGGCAGCTAATGGTGGTCACTATGATGTGGTTCAGTTGCTTGTGCAAGCAGGAGCAGATGTGGATGCTGCAGATAATCGGAAAATTACGCCTCTTATGTCAGCATTTCGCAAGGTAGGAGACCAACTTAATTTTACGTTTCAATGCTAAATGTTTTTTCAAAACAGAGTTTCTCATTTGGTCTTAAACCTGCATGCTTGATTTTGGAAGAATCAAATGTAACACAGCAAAATTACTATTTTGATAAAATGCCTGCTTTAAAGCAATCATAATCTGTGTACTTCACACAGATCTAATTTTTGAGAGGTGAAAAACTTTGTTCCATAAACTATGTGAACTTCATTATTTCTAGGTATACACAGTAACTGTTTGAGATTTCGCTGTCTTGAGATTACCTTAGTCCCCTCGAAATTTCTGCAGATTATACTGCTTGTTTCAATCCTGCTTTTGAGATGAACAAAACACCAGTCTGTTCTGATTCCTTTGTGCTTCTCCTGTTCCGTTCCTAATTTGTTGTTGAGTGGAACACTTTGTGTAGTTGGCTCTTTTGTCACCGCCTCTTTCTTCCTGGCAGGAAATCATTGCTTTGTGATGGTTTCCTCAGTTATGTTGTTGGATGCGAGGAGCACAGCTGTAGCAGAGGAATATATTAACTGTACCTGCTTTGCCTTTAACACAATATCAAATAAGCGTACAGCTTTTTTGACAAACAGCAATACCGAGCATGCCACTGCTGTCCCTCCATTGCTTTCAAATAGCTTGAGACAACAGTTGGATACTTGCTGTGTGGTTGCACAGTGTACCCCATCAATGAGTGGATCCAGCAGGAGAGGAATATGTTTGTCAGGATAATATTCAGGTGGCTCAGTTCCCTGATCAGACTTACCTTGTAATTGAACAACCTAAGTTAGCTCTGTGGTGTGAGTGGCAAGAGAGTGGGTTGGGTTGACAGGTGGGGTCTAAAGAGGGTGGTCTTGGCTATTAATAAAACATGAACAGCTGCTTCTGCACTTTGGTCCTGGTATTTTAAAATAAAAAATTACTTGTGGGAGACCTTGTCTTTGCCAGCATGATGTAGAACAGCAGACATGCTGTCAACACTGAGCAAACAGTACCTTTCTTCCCAAACAGCAACTTACCAGAAATGTTCTTGCTTATTTTTAGTCTTTTGCATTGGACTAAGAGATACCAAAATTGTATTTTGATGATGAATGTTGACAATTGTATACAAGAGATTACAATTTTCTTTCCTGTTCTAGGGGCATGTGAAAGTAGTTCAGTTCCTGGTGAAAGAAGTTAACCAGTTTCCTTCGGACATTGAATGCATGCGATACATAGCAACAATAACTGACAAGGTGAGTTTAACTTTGCGAAAAGACCCTGTCCCTTATTTACAGTGAAAATACACATGAGAAATTCTTAAGTATTCAAAAACTGAATGTACGTGTTGGCTCGTGTGCTTTTGATTCAGAGGTTTGTGCATGTATCCTTCATACAGAACTTAAAAAAATCAGTGTTTAGAGTTCTGTTCTGTTGAAATAGTTTGTATGATTATGAATACAGGAAAGCTAATCTCATGTTTGTAGAGCAAGCCTCGTTCCTCAATTTGTTTATTACAGAGGTAGTAAGACAGGTTTTCATTCCAGGACCTGTTGAAAAAGTGTCACCAGTGTGTGGAGACGATTGTGAAAGCTAAAGACCAGCAGGCTGCAGAAGCAAATAAGAATGCAACTATATTGCTGAAGGAGCTAGACCTGGAAAAAGTAAGTAGAGAATTGCTGTTGTGTAGCATAACAGTTTGAACTGTGTATTAAACTGTAGGCTGTATTTCCTGTTCATGTTTCTTGGGGCAATAATTCTTCATGCTGTGACTGTATGTGCTTTCCTTCCTTTAATATACAAAAAGTGAAGCGTATACTCAGGGTGGCAAATTAGAACTGAATTCTGCTTCAGCCACTCCATTGTCCTTTTTAGGAAAGCTTGGACTTGGCAATAGTTACCTTAGGTAGTAGCTCTCTTGCATTACTTCAGCACAGATGATGTGTGAATAAGGGACATCTTCAGTCTCGGTGGTGTGATACATGGTATGTTATATATTGTGTAAGATGTAGTCCATAAACGTTTTGTGGACTTCTACTTAGTGTTACAAAGGAGAGCCTACAAGCTGCCCAATGAGCTGTATGGAGTTGAGCAGATAGTGGGGAAAATCAACTTCTCCCTCCCTGAGAATACTGTGAAGTGTCCCAGAGTAATGCAGACACTTCTTAAGCACTCTTTAGTAGGCTGTCTTAATGGAGGCTCTTACAATTTTTGATGAGCAAATTCTGTATTAGTTTATTGAATTTTCCAGGTTGCTGACTTGTTAAACACCTGTTAGTTGCTGTGCAAAGCTACAGTATAGCATAGTTGACTTGGCTGATTCCATATATTAAAAAAAAAGTGGTTAAAACAATTTTAAAAAATTTTGTAAAATACTTTGGGAGATCTTTTTGAGTCAAAGATGTGAACATTGCTGAAAAGATATTAATAAATATTATTAAATCCTTTTTGAGAAAGGACTGAGATGATGAGAGATTTTGCTGGTTTTCCGGTAAAATTATGTTTTATAATACCTCTGTTTTTGTTGTCATTCCTTAGAAGCTTTGAGACCAGCTGGTCTTGTTGTTGCATAAGGTCTGCCCAGTTTCTGCATAATGATTCAGTACGTGACAGTCATTCTAGTTCATCGTGCTCTCTCCTTTCTCCCTCCCCCCAGATTTCTAGGGAAGATCTGAATTATAAGTATAATTTAGTCTGTGTGAAAATATTTAAATATGGATCCTTTTCTCCTACATAGTCAAGAGAGGAGAGCAGAAAACAAGCTCTTGCAGCTAAAAGGGAGAAAAGAAAAGAAAAGAGAAAGAAGAAGAAAGAGGAACAAAAAAGGAAACAAGAAGAAGATGAAGAAAACAAGCCTAAAGAAACTCTGGAACTGCAAGAAGATGACGATGAAGAAGAAAATGATGATGAAGGTAAAGAACAAGTGTTTCTATGAACAGTGTGGTGGTTCGGGTGCCTTTTTTTAACCATGTAGGTAAGCGAATCTGAAAGCTGACTTCTCTGGTGCTGTGACATTGTTGCATAGCTTCTGCCCTGGTTCTTCCCTCTGCAGTCAGAGTTCCTGGCGAAACTGCTTTGTTCATTCCCCACCCCCCCGCTTTGTTCCCTAAAGTCATTCACTGTTGGAGGATTTACAGCTGAACGCAGTGCAAATAGTCTGACAGCTCAGCAAGGAGCATAAGTTCAGCAGTAGTGTATTCAGTCAGGCACTGATTTCTATTTTGTGCGTTTTGATTGTATATCAACTGTTTTTCTTTCAGTGGAGCAAGAAGTTCCTATAGAGCCTCCTAGTGCAACTACTACAACTACAATTGGAATTTCTGCGACTTCAACTACTTTCACAAATGCCTTTGGGAAGAAGAGAGCTAATGTGGTGACTACCCCCAGCACAAATAGAAAAAATAAGAAAAATAAAACAAAAGAGACTCCTCAGAATATGCAGATAATTTTGCCAGATCAGCATATATCTCTAGCACAGCAAAAAGCAGATAAAAATAAAATAAATGGAGAGCCAAGAGGTGGTGGTGCAAGTGGGAATAGTGATTCAGATAACCTGGATAGCACAGATTGCAACAGTGAAAGTAGCAGTGGAGGTAAAAGCCAAGAGTTGAACTTCACAATGGATACAAATTCATCTGAGCGGCGCTATGCCTCATTGCTTATCCCTTCTCAGGAAGAAAAAACGAGCACCTCGGCTTCAAAAACACCAACAAGGTGAGACTGCTGTATTGCTTCCCTGTTGTTTCACAGGGTTTTACCTATGCTGATGTAAATTTTCTGTAGCTTAAGCTTTACACCAGCTGGTAATTCCCAAAGTCTTGAGAGACTGAGTTTGCTTTATTTGCATAGCTATTAAATAATACTGTCAAGTTTGTTGAACACAACCTCTTTAAAATGGTAAGGATAAGACTTTTTGGCATTGTTGGCTAGTTTTTAATACTGCTTTAGCAAAACAGCCAGTTTTCTCTCTGCACTATTTAAGCATCCATGTTGCATTGTCAACTTTATTAAAATAGATTTTAAAGTGAATATGCTGGGTATTTAAAAAGGAAGTGCCAGTTTTATTTATGATCTATTTACAGAAGTGGTTTCATTACATTTTGATTGTTTTATGGTTTCATCACTAACTCATTTGAATTGCAATCTCTTTGTTTTAAGGAGGGAAGAAGTTGATGACTCTGAGCATTTCACCTGCCAGGTTGATGGCCAGTTTGATTTAAACTTGTCGAGCCAGAGGTGAGAGTCAAAAGAACTCGGTGAATGTACAGGAGCCATATGAATGGTTTGGAAGATCATTCAGTTGCCAGAGAATGAGCTAATAACTTTATAGCACCAGTTTCTGAATAGGTCATTGGTCTGAATCAAAAGCTTAGATCCCATCTGAATCTGTAGTCTTTGCTTATTTTTTACATATAAGTAGTATGAGTCTGATCCTCTATAGTTTTCTTTTTTCTTTTCTTTTCCTGCATTAAGGGAGGGGAGAGGGTAGAGGGGTTGATCTACAGGACACCTGGCTGACTGAGAACCCGACTTCAATAAGAATGCAAACATTATGGGATCGAAAAGGGCAGCGAGGGGGCTGTTGCCAGACTGATTGACGTACTTTTCTGGGAGTGGGAAAAGAGTCAGGATTTTCTTTTTTCTTCCTTTCCCCAGATTAAAGTTAGGTGCAGAATGAGTGGATTTGTCAGCCCTTGTGGTTGGGGGGTGTGTTTTGGATTACCCTTAGGAATATTAGAAATTGGATTTTGTCTGTGTTCTGTTTTATGAACCTAAATTGTTTCTGCCTTGGACCTTTCATCCAAGGTCCCCTACAACAGCCTTGGAATCTTGTACAGTTCACTACAGAAGGACTAACTAAATGCATACTTCTAACTCTTTCTTAGAAGCAGTGCTTCTGTTAGATAAAGTATGCCTAAGAAACAAAACAGTGTATAAATATCAAAACAGGGCTAGTGTATTTTATTAACTTCTGCAGGTGCTCTTTGGCTCTTGCACTAGGCAGACTTTGAAAATAATTTCTAAATTTTCTCTTCCTGAGTTCCTATTCTCTTTAGTCACAGACATGCTGATGACAAGGCTACTGTAATTGAAACTTAAACTCAGACTTCATAATGATGCTTTTTTGAAAACGTACCTAGACATTTTCAGACAAAGCAGAAAAAAGCTTTTAAAGTCTACTCTGGAATCGATATTCCACAGTGGGCTCCGTTCTCTTCTTTCATATGCATTTTCTTGTTCTCTTTGCCTCAATCTTACAGTTCTATGAGGACAAGTGAAGTTCTCCATAGAACTTTCAATTGCCTTGAGCAACTGTATTATCAGAAAGCTAGAACTTACTAAGGTAAAGAGAGAAAATGCTGCCATTTTAAAAGGCATATTGTCTAAATGCTGCTTCTCATATAATGCGTACTCTTGGGTTGTTTAAATGTGGCTAGATCTCCGAGGTTTGTATAAACAAATAGTTTGTCTGCAGACACAATGAACATAAAATGTCATAAAGAACAGGGAATAAAACGGATAAATAAAAATTTGCATACAGTGAAGAGGAGGAGTGGTGCTTAGCAGGATAGCTGAAGCATGAGGTCCTTTGTAAATTTTCCAGCTATGCCATAGATTTGCTGGGTCGAATCACGTAAGACTAATTTTTCAATGACTTGTGAGGATTGCCGCCTGTGTTTCAGTGCTGCAGGTGAACTTGTGAGCTCCCAGTGCTACTTTTTTTCACCTCCACATAGATCAGTTAGTCTAACAAGAGATTGCCTGTTCTCTCTCTTTGTTTCTCTCTCACCAAACTTCGTGTTGTTTGTATCACTACACTATTGCTACAGCTGTATTAGTACAGGTAATGATATTTGGGCACCTCCTTCCAAATTGATGTCACTGGGACTTAAATATACTCAAATATCTGCCTCGGTTACCCATTCATAAAATGGGGGGAGAGGGGTAGAAGCACTTTCCAGGGAATCTGTAACAATGAGAGCTGAAAGACATTTTCAAGTACTTTGGTAATAATGTCTCTTTCTTACTAAGTACTTTTTCTTAAAAAGCCATTCAGAAAGCAGAACACAGTATAGACACATAGTCGGGATGTGCCGAAGTGCCTGTGTACCACCTGTTATAAGTTATTTTAATCTTAGTGCTTCTGGTATTACTTCATTCACTGTTTAGCACTCCGCTTTTTGGAGGAAGGGTTTAGGCTGTGGACTAAAAAGTAGAAAAAATTCCTATGAAGTCACCCAACAGTTGTTCCAGGTAGAAAATAAGAATGAAAATAGTTCATGCTAGTAGTTTTAAGCTGCAGAAATGCATACTGTAGTGCTGTCATTTTATTCTGTAATTTGTAGTCAACATATTTCTGTTCCCAGACTTGACGGTGAAGGTCATTCAAATTCTTTGTCAACTACTTATAAGCCTGTTTCCCTGCCTCTGACCTCTCCAAATGTAAAGCTGAACCTGACTAGTCCAAAAAGAGGCCAGAAAAGAGAAGAAGGCTGGAAAGAAGTGGTTAGAAGGTAAAGACTTTAATTCTATTTTTAAAAAGTGTCTGTGAGCTTTTTAGCTTGTAAATTATTCTCAAACATAGAATGTGCAGCAAGCTTATTTAATTGTATAATTAATTTATGAAATATCCCCCCCCCCTTACTCTTACAGTGTTGTGAAAACAAATTGCAGTCCTAATTTGTAGTAACTCCTCATTAACTTAATGTCAATATGATTTGCATATTTTATTTGGCATGAGGGTTTACTTTGCCTGTGGAGTAAAGGACGTGGGGATAAGATAAAAGAGGGAGGGAACGGATGGCAGTGAAAAGCCCCTACAACAGATGATTGCTTGCACATGAACTGAAGGCAGGATTGATGTTAGTAGAGTAGAAGAGACGTGGATGATCTCTTCAAGGCTAAAATTCATTGTGCTTTGGGTGGTGACCTTGATTGCGGATTCCATGGAAAATTTTGTTACCTTAAAGTGAGTGCTAGAGGTGCTATTAGATTTAAAGATTTTCTGTAAAGCAAACTTTCCCTTTGAAAATGTAATGGGTTTTATTATATGGCCATTAACACCCCAGTATCTTTCCTGTAACCTTTATGATGGCTGCTACTTGTACTAGAAATTATCATCTGGCTTTTCTTTTTTTTGTTCTCTTTATCAAAAAGGAATACAGCATGAACATACAAGTGTCAGATGCTTTGGGTGCATTTACAGTGCCCTCCTGCTTTTGTGTTCTGCAATGGTAGTGACCAAATATTCTCGTTTTAGAGAATTTTAGGCTATGTGCAAATAGCGTAATTGTACAGAGGATTTAATGCATTCAGATTAGTGGAAGCCACAGACTGTTCTTAATAAAGTTTAAAAAGGCAGTTTAAGCTGAAAATTTAAGCATTTGAATCCTTAGAGAGTTGGTTTGGTCTCTGCCTTTTGTTGTGTTCACAAGTGGGGTTCTCCTCTGTGACATGGCATTAAATGAGAAACAGTCTGTGATTGCAGACTGCCTGCCACTTGGTGAGTCATGCAGGCAAGAAACCATTAAACAGGCAGCTGACTTTTCCAGGGCTGCACAGAGACCCCGCCATTGACCCTGGAGCTGCTCCATCTCTCCTCCTGGGTTTCTTGAGTCTCATAGGCTCAACTCAACTGCTTGGTTGGGTATTGTCTGCTCTTCTGCTGGAGATGGTAGGGTTCTAGAGATGGCATCCAAAACCCGACCTTCCCTTTCCTGGTCTCAGCAAGAGTTCTTCTCCTCTGCCCATGAGTCACCTCCTGGCTAGAAGAGATATCTATCAAAGTAGTAACCGATGAAAACATCCCTTCTGCCCTTGACAGGCAAGTAGGCAGAGTTTTGAAAGACCCTCCCCCTAGCAACACTCTGCAGCCAACACCAATTGAGCAATTTCAGCTGCAGAGAGGAGGGCGCTGCTGTTCAGGAGCAAAAAGGTACTGTTTTGGGCACGTCTCAAGGTAAAAACCATTGAGCTCGGTGGGTAGGGAAGAAAACGGCAGTGGGTGGTGGGTGGGTGGGGGCCTGGGCACTGGGGTGAGCTCTCCTGAAAGAGGAATGTCTCCATGGGTGGTGGCATGGGGTTCCTAGTAGGCTGAACTAGTGGAAGCAGACCAAGACATGGTTGGGAGATCTATGAGTAATGAGGGTATATCTTGAAAGTTAGGTGACGATGGAAGCTCTGGTTTGGGGAGGGAGTGACTGGGATGTCTAGCTTGAGAGAGGAGCCTTGGGTGTGGAGGGGGGAATAAAGCCCAAAGTGTGAAACAGCCTTGGGAGGAGAGCTGGGTGCATGCTCCGAGGGCCTGGTTTCTGGGGATGGGGGAGGGTTGTAGCATGCTCTCCTGCCAGGAGAGGGGGAAAGAAAAAACATCTTGGCAAGATGAGGTGATGCTTCAGAACATTTCCATGTATTTAGATGTGTTTAAAATAAAATGGGTTTCCTTTAAGTCCTATTAAGTGAGAAACAATTTCCTGAGAATCAAGTTACTTAAAAAGTTTCCAAGACTGGAATAGCTGTAGGTGAAGCTGGAAGCCTTGTCAGGGGGTGATCTGTATGGTGTTAGGAGTCACCTGCACTGTGATCACAGTGGTTTCTGAAACCCCTTTGAATCCCCTCTAATTATTCAGTGTTAAACTATTGCGTATCACTGGCAAGCTTGAAAGCAATGTATGGGCTTGAAAGGTCCAGCCTTCAAAGTCTGGAGACAATGGTGGCCCAAAGGGACCTTGGCTAGGGTCTGGATGCAAGCATAGCTCATGTTCAAAGACGTCGCAGTACTGTATGCCTGCACTGACCCACCAATACCATATGAATTAGAAAAATCCTAAATTGACTTATTTCGCTGAACACATGGGTTACAATGTTGTGGCCCGACAGTGAGCCTGCTTCTGAAAACGTGTGCTGCCTTCACAGTGGCTTCACGCAGCTCCTTAAATCATAGAACCGCAGAATTTAACTATCTGCCATACACTGTTGTATAGTGTCACCAGTAAACTTTCAGACCTCCAGCTCAGAGAGAGGTGGATACTAAAAGGGTGGTGAATGCAAGTGGTGTTACAGAGCTGATCAATAGGGAAACACTGGAAAACCACCTTCCTGCTATAAACCCTTGCTATAAATGATCAAAGTAGTGAAGCCATGGGCTTTTACATTTGAAGCAGCACTATTTATGTAAATTTAGATTGATAAACTAAAGATTTGTCTCACTTTGAAGGTACACAAGATAAAATCCAAAAGTGTGTCTGAAGCAGTGTGAGGCGCATACATCTGTGTTACAGCAGTGGTGGAATTAATGCTTCTGGAGAACCCTTGTCAGTTATGTAGGATGATGAATAATTTGAGTGGGGGAGTTCTAGAGAGGTTCCAAAGGGTGAAGAAAATACCAGCAGAAAACCACTTGCTGCCCTGAAACTTAAGAATTGCTTCAGCCACCTGTCAGACAGCAAGGGATTTTTGCATGCCTTTAAAGTTTGAATACATTTCACAGATTTGTGATCTTTGTGATATAGGTCAAAGAAATTATCTGTCCCAGCTTCTGTCGTATCTAGAATAATGGGAAGAGGTGGGTGCAACATCACAGCAATTCAAGATGTCACTGGTGCCCATATTGACGTTGATAAGCAAAAAGATAAGAACGGAGAGAGAATGATCACTATAAGGTACAGTATCTAGAAATGAAAGTCTTGAGTTAGTCCACAACGTCATTTATTAAGAAGTTTGATTGCTTTTTAAGACAGGGCATATTTAGCTTCTTGGTACTAGAATAGAACATCTATTACTGCTGCCAAGATATGCTGATGGTCTGCTTCTTCAAAGATAATCCTTAAGATATGCAAAAGTCAAGAAATAACTTATTGGAGTAAACATGCAATAGACTTGCAGATCAGTATAAAATTGACTCTATGGAATGTTGCACAAAGTGGGGTTTCCTTTTACAAAAGATAAATAAGCTTGTATTTAATCTAGGGGTGGTACAGAGTCAACACGATACGCAGTGCAACTCATCAATGCCCTTATTCAAGATCCTGCCAAGGAACTGGAAGACTTGATTCCTAAAACTCACATAAGAACACCTGCTTCAAGTACCAAATCAATCCACACAAACTTTTCATCTGGAGTCAGCACTGCGACTGCTTCAAACAAGAACTCCTTTCCTCTTGGAGCACCGTCCCTAGTCACATCGCAGTCATCAACACTATCTACTTTCCAGACTACTAACAAATTAAACAAGAATGTCCCAGCGAATGTGCGCTCATCTTTTCCGGTATCTCTTCCTCTAGCTTATTCTCACCCTCATTTTGCCTTGTTGGCTGCCCAAACTATGCAACAGATCCGTCACCCTCGCTTACCTATGGCCCAGTTTGGAGGAACTTTTTCACCTTCACCGAACACTTGGGGACCATTCCCAGTGAGACCAGTTAACCCTGGCAGCACAAACAGCTCTCCAAAGCATAATAGTTCGAGTCGTGAAGGGAGTCAGAATGGAAATATTTTACAGACGGAGTCTCCTGGATTAGCTACTTCTAGCTGTCCCATTACTGTCTCTTCTGTAGCTGCTTCCACCCAGCCGCTGTGTGTAACCAGTAATCGGACTCCCTCTTCAGTCAGAAAGCAGTTGTTTGCCTGTGTTCCCAAGACGAGTGCTGCAGCAACAGCAATCTCAACTGTGACGAGCACCTGTAGCACTCTGCCTTCAGCTTCCTCTGCCCCCCCAAACAATGGGCAAGTGCCCACAGCATTTCTGCCATCTAATGCTCCACAAACACAGCATTCTGCACTTAAAGCGGACGCTTTCTCGGCTGTCTCAGTGCCCAAAGAGAAGGTGCCAACACCAGACCAGCCTGCCGCAAATGTGTGCGCACCATCTTCGGTTGGAAGTAGCTGCAGTATATCAGGTAGCAGCAACTCGGGAGTCACTGAAACTCGCCCGTCAAGCAGCCCTGCACCGCTAAGTAATGTCCAAGATGAAATACTGCCAACCAGCATGTCAGAGATCAATCCTTCCATGTCGATGCCTTTTTCATCCAGCTCAGAAACTGCTCCTTTAAGCTTAACATCACCCAGGTCAGTTGTTGCAGATAATCAGGACAACAGTAACTTACCTCAAGTAGCTGTACCAGCACCTCGAGTTACTCACAGGATGCAGTCCAGAGGTTCTTTCTATTCAGTGGTACCAAATGCAAACCTCCATCAAGATCCTCAGTCTATTTTTGTTACAAATCAAGTTCCTTTAACACCTTCTCAAGGTCCACCTGCTGCAGTGCAGCTTTCATCAGCAATGAACGTTATGAACGGTTCTCAGATGCACATTAACCCAGCAAATAAATCATTGCCTCCTACCTTTGGGCCAGCAACACTCTTCAATCACTTTAGTAGTCTTTTTGATAGCAACCAGGTGCCAGCTAACCAAGGATGGGGAGACTGTCCACTCTCTACCCGAGCAGCAGCTGACCCATCTTTCACTGTTCAGTCTACCTTTCTGAATAACTCTGTGCTAGGACACATGGAAAATGTGCATCCTGACAGCTCCAAGGCTCCTGGTTTCAGGCCACCTTCCCAACGGGTTTCAACTAGTCCTGTAGGTAAGTCATTAAGATCACGCACTGGACAGAATTCTTTCTCTAACCATTACACTTTGATCATCTCAAACTGATTGAGAAGTAGTTTACAAACAACAGTTAGAGAATACTAATGTAATGAGGATGGCCTATTTTTTCCAAGTGCTCTTTAAAATGTTGATAATGAATTTTGTCCTCTTTTCTTCAGCTCTTCTAGGATGTTGGGTGTTGGGAACATTGCAAACGTTGCATTGCTTGTCCTCTGTAAGACATAGGAATGCTCCCACCTGGTTGTAGAGTTCAAAGTAGCATTGATTTTAACTTTGGGGTTGGAATGAAACATAGGGTTGGGTGATATGAAACCTGAAAAAGCGTGGCCAGGGGTCTTGACAGGTTCCAGCTGCAGGAGTGACTGCATGCAGTTGTTCAGTATTTTACCTGAAACTTCAGTTTGACTCAGTGAGGGTAAACTCTGTGTACTTTTTGTCTCTTGATATGGCTCTAGGGTTTTAATAAGCTTGTGTTGTGCTTTGGGAAATTGGTGTGCTACTGCATGGTGTGTTTTATTAGGAAGTTACTGTCCTGCTCTTAAGTATAGCATCCTTCTGCTGTTAAGTATAGCAGTTCAAGTTTATCTGCATTTATTTGAAATGGGTTAGGAACACTTACAGTGGGCTCCCTGCCCTTGCTGTGCTCTGTCTAAAGGATTATTATCATCTTAGTGTTCAAACTACGTTGCAGGCAGCCGGCTGCACCCATTTGGCTGGAAGGGACCCTCAAGAGATCTAGTCTGTGCCCCTCTGTTCTCCCTTTCATTCTTGCCATAATGGCTTTATGGTGCCTTGAAGCTGGGTAGCTAGAGAGCCTTGCTTTGAAGTTGTCTTTACCCCCGCAGTGTATGTTAGATATTTTGGCTAATGCTTCGGGACTTGAATGCTGGACTGGGACAAGTCAAGTAGTTTGACTTTCAGACTAAAGAGGAAGGGGGCATTTGGAAGACGTGGTGGTGAGGAGAGATGATTTCCAGCATTCCTATTCCTCTCGGTTGATTTACAAATGTGCAGGACTTCTGAAAACCAGAAGACTTCTCTCTGACTAGCTCTAACCACAGAACTGAGATGTTTACTATTACTGTAGCTTTCTTAATAGTTTAATTTGGGCTGTATAGCTCTGCAGAGTGAGTGAATATCTAGAGCTCTTCTGCCATGTCCAGTCCCAGCGCAGGGAGCAGAACCATATGTAACTAAGGCTGTGGAAGATAAATTAACTGGACCTTGTTCATCAGGTAGGTTGCTAATAAGAGAATTGCCAGACCCTCCTCAGCAGACTCCAGAAACACTTTACATTGGCTCAGCTTTTTCTCTGCAGTGCTCTAAACTGGGAGATGGCAGTTGCTGGAATAACCCCTGGGGAAGGAAACTTATGGCAAATGGGATCTGCTGATTTTTCTGATGATGCATATACAAAGACGGCTGACTGGTACTTCCCATAGCAGCAAAATTTTGCTGTTCCCTTATGCTAAGGTCATCTGTTTGTTATTGGGAAAAATTTCTTTGTCCTTTATATATCCTTAAATGACTGTAAGTATTTAAAAGGTAGTCCAAATCTGTTTCTTCCCTGAGTTAGGAAGGTTGGGTAGATACCTAAGGAGAGCTCACGTGGTTGACTTTGGGGAGTGACGGTCTTCTCAAGTGTGACGTTCTTCTCAACTGAAGCACAAAAGTACTTGGACAGAACACATTTTTTCTGAGCTGGAATTTGATTAGGATATTGCAAAGTGAAGAAAAACTGCAAATAGGTAGATGTGCTGCTAAAAATTTTGCCTGGCAGGAGATGACTGGTTAGTCAGGTCCTTAGTTGTTTCCTTTAATATCATTCTACTTAATACTGCTTTTGATTGCCTTTGTTTTAGAATCTAAATTGTCTGTTGCACAGGAGGAGGCGGAGGGGTTAAGGGAGCCTGGGGAGAATGGGGTGTTTTGAGGGTGTGATAGTGAGGAAAGGAGTGGGGATGGTAGGCTGAGGGACCTCTCTGATGCTTTCCCTTGGAGCATAAGTGTTGTCTTGCGGTCTGTCCACCCATCTCATTCACTGGCTCTTCCCAGGGGAACAGACCTTTCCACTCAGCCTTCAAGGTGGGTTGAACTGGCGACTACCTTGACTGTTTCCATAGGGTTCAGTGGCAGGCTTCATGAGATTTTGAGAAGGGGGAAAAGGGCCAGTCACTGCTGGCTTATGCTTTGGCCAACAGCAGTGCAATGGACAAGGAGCAGTCTGGGCCTTGCCTGGCAATTCAGTACGCTTTTGTGTGATGAGAGGGAGTGGTAATGGCCCTCAAAGCAGGTGGACACCAATCTTCTAGTCTCAACTGTGACTCTACATGTGATGGAGCAGAGGTTTTCTTTTGTGCCTGTCTTGCACAGTTGGGCTGCGGCAACTTTTTACCACAAATGAACATCTCTTGGTGATCACCTCTAAGCTGATTTGGTGGAGATTTAATATAATTTGATTGTGCACTAAACCAGCTTTTTTTAACAAGTTGTCAACCTCAAGGTGGAGTTTGGGTACTCTGCTTTTCCTATTCATGGGTAGCTCAGTTGCAGCTTGAGTTTTTCTCTGATTCACCAATTCCTCTGAGGCACAGACACATGTGCCTCACCAGCTGTGGATCTGTTCTGGAAATGGCCTTTTGTTTCACTTATGTCTTTAGATCTCTTGTCCTAGCAGCTTACAGATTGAGGGCAGACTTAGCCCAACCATCTGGGGAGGCTGTGGAGAAGACCAAAAGAAGTCTATTTGTTACTTCTTTCCTCTGCATTTTAAGAAGGGGTTTGAGACCTTCCTCATGTGGCATTAAAAGGTATCATAAACTTGAAATATGCCAGCTTAGGAAGCAGCACATGAATATGAAGCTGCATGAAATGGCTGGGCTCCCTGTTTTACACGGAGTGACCAAGTGTTGCGGCTGTTTCTCTAAAGGTGGAGGTAGTCCTTGCAGTTACCAGTTTCTGCAGAAGTGCCTGGGGGCTTTGATAAACTGAATTTTGAGCAGAGTTTGTGTGAGATTGATACACCAGTCTTGAAAGCTCAGTTATGCTTTCAGAGCATGATGAAGAGTTTGAATTCATGGACCAATAACTGCAGAGTATGGTATTGCAAAAGGTTTTAGTATTACAAGACCTGATTTTGTTGGTAAGAACATAAATAGGAAACTCATTACTGAAATCAGGACTCTGTAAGTCACTGTTCACAGAAGCCATTTTTAATATTGACCAAAGGTTTTCTTAATCTACTTTTATGAAAGGCAAGATAATGATAAAAAGTGTTCTTTACAACCTGAAAACTGACTACTCTGTTGAATTTGTGCATCTCTGGCTGTCACACTTCCTTCAACCTGTAGAAAATAACAGCAGTGCTGAGATGGTCTTGGCTGTACATCATTGCACTTTGAATGCTATGTACCCATCTTACCAAGCCTTCAAAAGGCACAGCTGGGCATCTCTGTTCTGCAGAAGAGCTACTTTTTTTCATCATAATCTCTGCCTTGTTCTCTGTTTAGGAAACCAGCAGTCCCCATGGGTGGCAGCAGCTCTGTTACGCCTTCTGCAGGGGCAAGGACTCAGAATCTTTGGTGGTTTGTCAGCCAGCTGGAAACTTGTTTTTGATGTGTGGTGGAATTGGTCACCATAGGGGCCTTTTGACTACTTTTGAGTTGACTTTTGTGGATGGAGGGTTAACAAGAGTGTCTCATTGGTAGCTCCATGGCAGATGCACAAGGAGGGCCCTCAGCTGGAGGTGCTGCAATCTGCTTATGGCTAGGCTCCGTGCTGGAGGCCAGTCTGCAGCTCTAGACAAACACAGATCAATCAAACTGCATTTACAGGCAGCCTGCCACAGGCATTAGCATCCTCCTCATAGCCATGGAGCCTTGCACTTTGTGCTGTGACAAACCCTGAAAGATTGTCCTCCCACGCTCAGGTTCCCTCCTCTGAGCACCCCATGTTCTGTTGGTGGTGATGATTTATTTCTCTTCTCTTTTTGAACCTTTGGGGTAGAGCAAGTGAGAAAAATACCTCCTTCCAATCCAGTGACTCATTTCTGTCAATGTGAGCCAGTTGGATCTGGCACTTCTGGAAGCAGTAAATCAGGTTGACTTGTTTGATAATATTGGGCGAAAAAGACCTGGCTTTCAGGAAAATATCCAGGCCATGAAAGGTGCACCTCTAGTCTGTGACCTGTATTGCCTGTCACCTGTGCTGTTTGCAGACTGCTGTGGTGTAAGTAGGTACAACCTTCAACCTTGCTCTGCAGCAATATTGGCTGGTCCTGGTTGTGGTCATTTTCAAATGTTTAAATGGTTTTGAAACTAGTCTTGTTTAATAGGCCCTTGAAACTAAACCCAAAACTCAGGTGAACATATGGCCATGCCCATTTCTGCTTTCAGGTAATAATGTGTGATAAGAGCTTTTACAACATTGTGGAAAAGTACTTAAAAGCTTTGGTGTATTAAAAAAATGTAATTCCCCCTTGCTAATAATTTTCATAGGACTGTGAACTTTCTCTCCATCTCTCCCTTCCTCTCATACATCCCTGTAGAAAGCAGCCCCCTCACCTGTTGTGCTGTGCATCGCCAGCCCTGTTTCTCTTGAAATGCTCTGACCTCTATATGTCAATGTACCTATAGGATGGCAAAAACCGTACTGCAGTGAACTACCTTCCTGGTGCTGGATTCCCCTGGGACTTTCACAGAGCCCTGTATCCCTGTTTGACTTGCGTGGCTTTTTTTTAAGCAAAGATCCTTGCCACTCCCAGCTTTCTTCCTTTGCCCTCCCTGCTAAGATCATTTCCTTTCAGTGACCAAAGGGATGGCTGTTTTTGTTAAAACTTCAGGCCAGGACAGGGAGCACACAGAAATACTTTCTGTTGGTTTCTAAGGGAGAATCATGCACCTGTAAAACGAACTTACCATGTGTGGATACCCCCAAAAGTGATGAGATGCTTTAATTATATTTGGAGCACTAGCTCTCTCTGGTGCTTTGAAGCAGGTTCCCAAAGAGACATATTTAATCAAATTTATGTTTATTTCAGGCTTACCCTCTCTAGATCCATCCAACAGCTCTACAACTTCTTCTTCAGGTCCTTTGACAGGCTTTTCAGCAAACATACAAGGAGCACGGGTTTACCTTCAAGGGCCAGCGCCTGTTGGGACTCCCAGCTTTAACAGACAGCATTTTTCACCACATCCTTGGACAAGCGCAACAAATTCATGTAGGAACTTCATGGGTCTGTCTTAGTTAACTATAAATTCATAGCTATTGTCTTTAGTAGATTTGTAACTTGAGGGGAAATTACCCAGTGATGTACAAAATGCTTTCCAATTGCTTTTAGCAGCTGTGAGGATGGCGTGCAAATCCCAAGCTGTACTGTTTTGTGGTTTTTTCCCCATGTAAAATGCCACTAGTTCTGGTAGTGTTACTAAAGGCATATTTGGGCAAAAGAATCAGTCATTGTAGGCTTGGAGAGGAGACGGCATGAAGCTGTGGGGGAGTGAAGGTGATTATAGCAAGCTAAAGATTCCCCTCTAAATAGTATGAGTGTAATATTAGGTGAAAATGTCATGTTTGCCATGGTTTGAAGTTATAATTGCCTTTTTTTCTTTTTTTTTTTTTTTTTTAATTGGGATTCTGGAATTACTTCATGTTACTTAAAATGTTCCAAAATCTTTAAGCATCATCCAAGGTAACAGTGGGTTTTCCTCCTAATGGGAAGAACATGGAAGTAGCTTTATAGAAAATGTGGGTCTTTGATTCAGAATCTTAAGGGAAGAGGCTTTTCATGTCACTGCATGAACTTCATTGCCACTCTGAGCTTAAGAACCAAAATGTTTAAATGAGTGCTCAAAGGAAGTTGGATTTCTCAAGAAGAGTCAGTGACACTTCTGAAGTTGGTGGGACTTACACTCTTATGTTACACGTGTGGCTTTGGGAAGCTGTCTAATTTCTCTTCTGCTGGAAGTGGTAGATACCAAAACCAGGCTGTTTAGATATTTATAGTATTTCGGCTGATGTTTACACCTCTTCCTGAAACTCTTCCATGTTTCTTATTCTTTCTTGTAATTAATCTAGATGTACTGCTATGTCATGAGAATATCGCATGATTCTGATGGCTGAAAGCATTTGTGTTATAATGTTGATTTTAGAGTTAAAATAAACTCTAAACAGAATTTCAGTGAAAGACTTGAAGAATGCTTGCCAAAAAAGCCTTTAAAACCTTTTTATCATTTGCTTCAAGGTAACATTGTGGGGATAGAACAGGTAGCATTTATTCTCTCTAGCTTGTGTGCTTTGTGTGTAATTAAGCAAGAGAAATACTCTTTTCAGCAGGTGAATCTCCTATTCCATCAGTTTCCTCAGGATCATCTTCACCCCTTTCAGCTGCTTCTGCACCTTCAAACTTGGGCCAGCCAAAAATGGGTAATGCCAATCAAGATCGAAAGGTACCCCCTCCCATCGGGACAGAAAGGCTTGCTAGAATTCGACAGGGAGGATCTGTCACTCCTACACCCTTAGGAACCAACTTCACAGCTCCTGTCGGTCATAGCGGTATTTGGTCCTTTGGAGTTAACAGTGTATCTGGTAAGTCTGTTGTACAGCCTGGGGTAGCCTAAAGAAACTTCTAGGGCCTTTCAGAAGTACTACATTTGAAAAGAAAGTTGGGGTGGAGGAATAAGTTCCATAGTTTGTAATAATTTTTGTGTAGTATATCCTGAAGGGAAAACTGGTATCAGTGGTGGGAGAGTGCATATCCATGGAGGCGCTGTGTTTTTCTCTCCTAATGCAGGTGGTTCTCACCCAACCTAGATTTTTCTGTCAGTGTATACTTGTAAACCCTGAGAACAGTTCAGAAATTTCATATTAAGTCTATTGAATGATACAGAATTTAAAAAGTAAACAACTTTTATCTTGGAAATGGGGGTCCATTTCCAAGTCTGACCCTTGGCCTAAAAGGACAACTGTGTCTGTCCAAGTTTCTACCTTGCTTTTCATTAAAATTTTAAAATGTTAGTTGTGGTGCAGTTAATGCATCCAGAAACAAATAGTTGTGGATGCTGATTTTTGCATTGATCTCCTCATGACTCTTGAATAGTATGGGGTAACTTCTGTTCCAGGCAGCCCCAGTTTCAAAAGAATGACTTTGAAACAGCTGAAGTTTTACGTTCAGTTTCCTGATATCTTGAGGTCCTTGTGAAAAGGAAGAGCTGCAGCATTTGAGGTGTAAATTGTTTCCATTGGTAACTTTAAAGACAAATGTTTTAATAGTTCTGTATTTGTTACATTTTTTCAGTGAAGCCCTCCATGCTTTGATTAACTTAGTGTCTCAGCATTGCTGTGTGTTTTCAAGAAAAGCTTGTATGTGCTCACAGGCAATACTTGGAGGTTTACTGGATCTTAGCTGTTCTGCTGTGGATGCCTGAAACTTGCAGTTACTAGTAGTCCCCATTATCTCCACATTTGTCTGGAGGATCAAGATGAATGTACATGTAGATGGCACGTGCCTGGCCAATCTTCCCTGGCCTCACCATTCT